GCTATTGTTAATCTCCAACCAAAAGCCCTCCTGTGCTGACCTTTCTTCCAGTGCTCTTTTCTGCAGTAGCTTACAGCTGCTCCCTTCCCCACAGCTTATGGGAACCTCCTCAAAACCCTCATCTTATCCCCCTTCCCTGCCAGGGTGGCCCACAACCAATGACTGACTGCTTTGGGGATACAAAAGGCCAGCTGCCTTGCCTCAAGGAAGTGTAATTCTATTGTAGGACTTATGCCCCCATATATAACAGTTCCCTGTGGATCAGGCCAAGGCTGGATGTGACTGAGACACACTTTGTATGGTTCTTTCCCTTTTCTGTCTACTCCACTTTCTCCCTTGCAGGTTTTTCCTGAAAAATGCTTCCCATCAATACATGTCTACTGGATGGCCAGGTGTGATGGCTTACGTCTGTAATCTCAGCACTTTGGAAGACTGAGGCAGAAGGATCGCTTGAGCTCAGGAGTTTGAGACCAGCTTGGGCAACACAGCAAGACCTTATCTCTATTAAAATTCAAACAAATATTAGCTGGTTGTGATGGAACAAGCCTGTAGTCCCAGCTACTTGGGTGGGGGGCTGATGTGGGAGGATCGCTTGAACCTGGGAAATCGAGGCTGCAGTGAACCAGAATTAGGCCACTGCACTCCAGCCTGAGCAACAGAGTGAGACCAAATTCTGTCTCAAGGTCTGTTTTTAGGAAACCCAACTTCAGGCCACTGGTGTCAGTACTCTGCCATGCTTTTCCCAAATCACTTTCTCATTCATTTCTGGGGACTGTTAAGATTTATGCTCTGGGCTGTGTGTACCATGGGACCTAAATTCGTCTGAAGGTACATGAAGGTGCTAGTCAAAAACAACTGGGCTCTGTGGAAGTACTTGTAAGGAATACCTACTCACTACACAGGGTTGTTACGAGGGTTTTAAAAGCTAAATGAGTTCAGATGTGTAAAATGCTTAGACCAATGCCTGGCATGGAGCAAATGCTCTTAAGTATTAGTGCAGGAATTTCTGGGATGTTTTTGTTTACTTGTGTATTCCAAGTGTGCTTAGGTGAATGCTTGATACACAGTAGGCACTCAATAATATTTGTTGAATGAATTGGTTTCACTTTGAGGGCTTAAGGCGAGGTGCCAGGATTTGGCCAGCAGAGGGCAGAACCTGTGAAGACAAAGCTTCTACAATCTACAGGCTTTGACCTGTAAGAGGTTGCAGGAGAGGCTTCCAGACAACTGATCTGGAGAGAGGGATGAGAGGAGTGCCTATAACATAGAATATATACGTAGAAGTGCCTATACCATAGGAGAGATATATGTGTACATACACATATATATAAAACAAAACTTAATCTCAAAAATATATATTTGGAGACAAAGTTTCACTCTTAATGCCCAGGCTGGAGTGCAATGGCACAATCTTGGCTCACTGCAACCTTGCAAACTTCACTTCCCCAGTTCAAGTGATTCTCCTGACTCAGCCTCCCAAGTAGCTGGGATTATAGAGGTGCACCACCACACCCAACTAATTTAATGTTTTTTTTTTTTTTTAATTTTTGAAGAGATGAGGTTTTACCATGTTGGTCAAGCTGGTCTTGAACTCCTGACCTCACATGATCCACCCACCTCGGCCTCCCAAAGTGCTGAAATTACAGGCATGAGCCACTGCAACTGGCCACCATAGGATGTTTAAATTTTTTTTTTTTTGAGATGGAGTTTCACTCTTGTTACCCAGGCTGGAGTGCAATGGCATGATTTTCGCTCACCGCAACCTCGGCCTCCTGGGTTCAGGCAATTCTCCTGCCTCAGCCTCCTGAGTAGCTGGGACTACAGGCACGCGCCACCGTGCCCAGCTAATTTTTTGTATTTTTTTTTAGTAGAGACAGGGTTTCACCATGTTGACCAGGATGGTCTCGATCTCTTGATCTCGTGATCCACCCGTCTCGGCCTCCCAAAGTGCTGGGATTACAGGCTTGAGCCACTGCGCCCTGGCCTGAATGTTTAAATTTTACTCCCTTCAAATCCTAGAATTTTATTTCGTCCAACCTGAATGTGTGTAAGGAAACATACTGAACTCTTTGTGAATTCAGACAGATCCTTTTTTTTTTTTTTTTTTTTTTTTGAGACAGAGTTTCGCTCTTGTTACCCAGGCTGGAGTGCAATGGCGCAATCTCGGCTCACCGCAACCTCCGCCTCCTGGGTTCAAGCAATTCTCCTGCCTCAACTTCCTGAGTAGCTGGGACTACAGGCACGTGCCACCATGCCCAGCTAATGTTTTGTATTTTTAGTAGAGACGGGGCTTCACCATGTTGACCAGGATGGTCTCAATCTCTTGACCTCATGATCCACCCGCCTCGGCCTCCCAAAGTGCTGGGATTACAGGCTTGAGCCACCGTGCCCGGCGACAGATCCATTTTTCCAGTCCTCGAGATTCCTGGAATTGCCCTGGTGTCTGTAGCTCCTTGTTTATGGCTACCCCATATGCCTCAGAAATTCCCTTTTGTACTTACAGTAATATAAATTGAATGCCTGTAACTTGCAACCAAAATAATTTGTATTATTTCATGATTAAGCCCAGGGAGCATGAGGACTGTGTGAAGGGGAGTCTTCACCGGGGACAATGAAGTCATGGAGTAGCCTCAGGAGGCCTGCTTTCTGCTGTCCCCCCAGCCCACCTGCCCTGTCCAGGAAGGAGCTCCCTGACATCTGCTTCCAAGCTTCCCTGGTCTTGATCCCTTCATTCACTCTGCCCATTTAGCTCTGTCCTAACTTTCAAAGCCCAGTTCAAGTTCTACCTTTCTCTGACTCCTCCTAGTCGATTTCATTTCTCAAAATCCTATGACATCCATCACCTAACCACTCATTCTTACACCCAATTGCATTCCGTATTTTATTTGGAAGTTCGGGCTGGATGGTGTCTAAAGTCCTATCAGCTGTAACTTTCTGAATCTGTTGTCTTCCTATATGTCACATCTTGAGGAACTCTCCATGTTCTCCCTTAAGAAGAGATGAGGAAGGGCTTGAGCAACAGGGCTCAGCGCAGGTTTGCAGAGCATCGACATAATTGCTCATGGCAGCAAATGTGTTCTGTGATCTTCCATTCAAAAACTCAAAGGGTTTTATTTTTATTTGTTCAAAGTGGAAGTATCTTTTTTCCTTTTATTATACAAGTAACATGCTTATGGCCAAGTCAGTCAATTAGTATATAAATATATAGTGTGGAAAGGGAAAAGCACCCATAATCCAATTCCTCAGAGATAACTGCTATCCAAATATTATTTCAGAGTTCTGCTAAACATAAATATGTATGTTTTAATGGGTACTTCTGGGGACCACATGGAGATCCCTTAAGTTGAAACTGGACAAACAGAACAGTGAGTGGTTCTAGCTGAGATTTGGGATAGCCACATTGCAGGTACTAGATGTGACTAATACCCCTCAGCCACATTGCAGGTATTAGATGGAACCACAGATGAAACTATGATACCCAGCTGTTTCTAACCTACAAACACAGTGATTACCTATGGCTCAACTTAATGTATGTGAAGCCTAGAATGTCAGAACTGATAGAACCTTAGAAATTTTCAAGTCTATTTCATTATGTTGAAGAGGAAAATGAATGAGAGAGGTGTGTCCAGCATAAGATTATACATCACCTTAGTGGTAGAATCAGGGCTGCTTCTCTTTCCACTGAACCGTGTATCTGCCTCACATACTCTGCTTCTTTTAATATAATCTTTTAAGTGCCATTTCAGTCTTCTAGAAGCAGATTCAACATGATATCAGAAAAAATCTCATAGCTGGTCGCGGTGGCTCACATCTGTAATCCTGGCACTTTGAAACTGAGATGGGCAGATCACTTGAGGCCAGGAGTTTGAGACCAGCCTGGGAAATATGGTAAAACTCTGTCTCTGCTTTAAAAAAGTTTAGCCAGGTGTGGTGATAGGCACCTGTAATCCCAGCTGCTCAGGCTGAGGCAGGAGAATTGCTTGAACCTGGGAGGCAGGGGTTGCAGTGAGCCAAGATGGGGTAGCTGCACTCCAGCCTGGGTGACACAGACTGTTTCAAAAAAGAAAAGAAAATTTCTCACAGAACTCCGTCAAAACCAAAGAGGCTGATTTGGAGGTAGTTTAGTCCCCCTAGCTGGAGATGTGACTGGGAAGTGCCCTGTGACTTGGTTCAAGAAGCACATGAGGCCGGGCGCGGTGGCTCAAGCCTGTAATCCCAACACTTTGGGAGGCTGAGGCGGGTGGATCACGAGGTCAAGAGATCGAGACCATCCTGGTCAGCATGGTGAAACCCCGTCTCTACTAAAAATAGAAAAAATTAGCTGGGCATGGTGGCACGTGCCTGTAATCCCAGCTACTCAGGAGGCTGAGGCAGGAGAATTGCCCGAACCCAGGAAGCGGAGGCTGCGGTGAGCCGAGATCGCGCCATTGCACTCCAGCCTGGGTAACAAGAGCGAAACTCCGTCTCAAAAAAAAAAAAAAAAAAAAAAAGAAGCACATGAACCATGTAGCTAACAAGGCATAATATTCAGGGTCCTAACTCACATGAGCTCCTTCTTAAGGTCTTAGCAGGGGCCCTAGCAACATATTTATGTGGCAGTATATTTTTGTAATATTTGCAAAAGTAAGCTATTTTAGTATTCTTAAAGAGAGTCCCCAGATTGTATGACCTTCAGGCCTGGATCCTCTCCTGTGTGGCACAAAGTTTTGAAAAGCACTAGGCAAGGAGACCAGAGTTCCTGGTTTCCAATCATGGCACCATTCAGGACCAAATGGGCAGCACAGCACTTGCCCTGCTTTCTTCATGGGAGCGGAGGCAGGGTGGTGGTGGTAAGTCTTATCTGTGATGTGGGATAATCATCACTGCTTCTCATGACTATTGAAGATAACACATAAAAAATGTGTCCCCAGAGCATCTTCCTGTCTCATTTCCCTCTGCTACAATTTCTTCTCCTTTCTCCAATCCCCAGGCCCCCAATATTCCAGCCACTAAACCAGGTATTGGTCATTATCTGTTGCTACTTTTATATGTTTGTTCATGGGCTCCCAATGTTTATAAAGTTTATCTTTTCCTGGAAAAAAATCCTTATGCACAAGGCTGTGGTCTGCCAGCCCCTATTCTCCCACCCCAGTGATGACCTCCCTTAGCCCTGTTTCTTGTTGATCTTACAGATAGGTACACTGAGACCTGATGCAGTCCACAGCAGAGTTCTGGAGGCCCCAGACACAATCCCCAGGTGTCTCGGTCTTCCACCATCCCGGCCCTCTTGTGTTAGATCATAGACACACGATTCTTGATGTACACATGATAGGGGTCACTACGCTTGTCCACTTTGCGGGAGCGGGTATATCCCAGGACGAGGCTGCCCACAGTGACAGCAAATAAAAACATGACGAAGAGAATGTACATGTAGGAGTTGTCATCACGGCCAGGTTGGCTGGCCTGCCGCTTTTCAGTCTGGTTGTCTGGCCCTGGATCCAGCCCTGGCCCTGGCTGGCAGAGCACGTTTCTGTGAAGAGTGGCATTTAGAGCCTTCAGTACAGCATGCATGCTCTTGTACCAGGTCTCAGTTCCATTGGTAGTCTCCATAGCAATAGTGATTGAGGTGGGGGAAGACTTGGTAGAAGCTCTGGTGACAAGAGAAAAGAGAGAAGGGATGGCTCTGTCACCTGTAACTTGAATGACCTCATCCCCTCAGATCCCAGGTAAAATCCCAACATCATGGCTGATACGGTTTGGCTGTGTCCTCACCCAAATCTCATCTGGAATCATAACTCCCACAATCCCCACATGTCATGGGAGGGACCCGGTGGGAGGTAATTGAATCATGGGGATGGATTTTTCATATGCTCTTTTCATGATAGTGAATAAGTCTTATGAGGCCTGATGGTTTTATAAAGGGCAATTCCCCTGCACCTGCTCTCTTGCCTGCCACCATATAAGACATGCCTTTGCTTCTCCTTCACCTTCTGCCATGATTATAAGGCCTCCCCAGTCATGTGGAACTGTGTCCATTAAACTTCTTTTTCTTTATAAATTACCCAGACTTGGGTATTTCTTCATGGCAGTATGAAAATGGACTAATACAACAGTTTATTCTAGCTACTTGATTACATGTCTGTTTTCTTCACTAGGCCACACACTCAAAGGCAGGGCCTATATTTGTTTTACTCACTGCTATATACAATCACTTATGATGGCACTCAACAAGTACTCAATAAATAATTGTAGAATAAAGTCTTCCCTGACCATCAGAACCCATATTAATCTCTCCTTTCTTTGGATTCTATAAATCACTGAACTTTAGGTTAGAAGGACCTTAGGGATTGTTTAATGTAACTCTTGCCATTTTATACACAGGGAAACTGAGGCCTTGAGAGGAATAAGTGGCTTATCCATCATCACAGAATATTAGAAATAGAGCCAAGACAGAAAGCCCTACTCTTTGTGGCTAGCTTAGAGCTGCTTCCACTTCCATGCCAGTTCTCAGCAGGACTGCTTGGCACTGTTAGAAGACATTCATCAGAACTCTCCTTCAGCACAGTCTCTTTATAGGCTCCACAGACAGGTTGGGTGTGGTGGGTCATGCCTGTAATCCTAGCACTTTGGGAGGCTGAGGTGGGCAGATCACTTCAGGTCAGGAGGTGGAGACCAGCCTGGCAAACATGGTGAAACCCTATCTTTACTAAAAAATACAAAAATTAGCTGGGCATGGTGGCGGGTGCCTGTAATCCCAGCTACTTGAGAGGCTGAGGCAGGAGAACTGCCTGAACCCAGGAGGTGGAGGTTGCCATGAGCAGAGATAGAGCCACTGAACTCCACCCTGGGCAACAGAGTGAGACTTCATCTCAAAAAAAAAAAAAGGTTCCAGACACCATATGGAAGATGTCTGGGTATGGTTTAAATTTCATGCTACCTGGAGGCTAGAAGGCTAGAAGCTGGATCATTTGACCTCTCAAACACCCTGTGTCTCTCACACTCTAGATATGCCTAGCTATTTGCAGAAATTCTGTTGGAAAGGAGGTAACTAGGGAAAAAGGGACAGGTTGTTAACCACTACAGGCATTGGAGAAGGCAAGAACAACTTGAGATTGAGCGGGGAGAGTGAAAGGAGTTCTCAGTCTGGCTTGGGGTTTACCTGCCCCACTAAAAGAAGACACAAGCACCCCAACTATCTTGTCCCCTGAAATAAAGTCATTATGTACCTGGCATATAGTAAGTGATTATAAATATTCCTTTTCCTTCTTCTCAGAGATCCTTAGTCTATAATATAGAAAGAACATCTTAAAACAGACTTACATCCTTGTCTTTGAAAAACTATGTCATTCCCGTTAAACAAGGCCCCACACTCACTTTCTTTAGGAAGCCTCCATTCAGTGCTCCCCACCCCTCAACCACACTCCACCATCTTTATCATCACAGTCTTCCCTTTCCCCAAGCACTTACATATAAGGCAGTATGTGGCCATCCTCTTGTTTTTGATAAGGATATCATCAGACCACATGCGTCTGGTCAGCAGGGCTATGTATCTAGGGGACTGCCCTAAGATTGTCTGGGTGTTCTCCTTTTCTCAATAGTCTCTAGTAAAGATGTCCGCTTTAAGGACTTCTCTGTGGATCAAGCATTCAGCCCATTGATTGGTTCCACAACCCTCTATCATCTGGGTAGAACTGTTAACAAACCAAAGTTAACAAATGTGGCTGTTAACCATGAGATCTCTCCCCTGGAAAAGACGAACATTCTGACCAAGATAAATATTCATCAATGGCTCTATGAATGCAGAAGTTGGGGGGGGGGGGAAGAGTTTAAATAATACAGCAATCAGCCAGGACTGGCCCATGTTTTATGCAAGGCCTTTGGGGCCTTCTGCTATCTTGAGTACTTGTGCTATCTTGTCTGGATGGAGGAGGGGAAAAGAACAAGAGCTCACTGAGTTAAGATCCAGGATGGATCACGAGGTCAGGAGTTTGAGACCAGCCTGGCCAATATGGTGAAATCCCATCTTTACTAAATTAGGCAGGCGTGGTGGTACACACCTGTAGTCCCAGCTACTTGAGAGACTGAGGCAGGAGAATCGCTTGAACCTGGGAGGTGGAGGTTGCAGTGAGCCGAGATCATGCCACTGCACTCTAGCCTGGGTGACAGACATGACTCTGTCTCAAAAAAAAAAAAAAAAAAAAAAAAGATTCTGGAGATACAGGTTCTCATCTACTACCCCATGTGTCAGGCAAGAAATCTGTGGCTGCTTCTTCCCTTTTGTGGGCCAACAGCAAGTAGGAGCAGCATGATGAAATAAATAACTCAAAAAAATCATCCAGATAGTCATCACTAATATGGCCCAGGCCCTGTGATGGGAGCTCGGGGTGGCTCAGACCCAGTGCCTTCACCCAGGGGCTCTGATACAATGCAGGGGACAAGCCAGGAGCTACTAAGGCTGAAAGGAATAAGTGATGGATACTGGTCAGGGCTCAAAGTATCCACAGTGATGGAGGAGTTTGAGTTGGACCTTGAAGGATATTTAGAAGGCAGAGAAGACAAGGGAAGGAAACGTGAGCAAAGGCACAGCAAGAAAGTATGTAAATGTTTAGACGAATAGAAAGTAGCATAAAGAGGGTGGAGTATAAGATGTGTGGAAGAATAGCATAGAGTGTGGGACAGGAGAGATAGGCAGGTGCCAGGTCATGGGGGGCCTTGACTGCCGTGCTGGAGAGTTGGAACTTTATTCTGTAGCTGGGGAAAAGCAGTGGAATAAGTATTTTAAAAGAAGATAAAATGGTCAGATCTGTGCCTGGAAAGGATACTCTGGCTGTCATGTAGACTGGAAGGAGCTAGAGCTGAGGCAGTGAGCCCAGCTACAAGAGTCCTGAAATAGTTTAGTGCAAGATGCTGAGTCAGGAGTTGGGACAGAGAGGATAACAAAGTGGGGGTGGGGCTAGAGACAGATGTGAGACCTGAGGAGGGAATGGCTAACCTGAGTTGAAGGAGGAAGGGGCCTCAGGCAAGTTCACAGGTAGAGACAAATAGTGTAAGTGTCTGGAGGAGCCTACTCTGAAGGAAGTAAGTTCCTTTGCCTAGTGGGGCTTCGGTTTCCTCATCTACCAAAAGAGATCATCATGGAGTTGTACGGTAGGTATAGAGTTTCAGTTTTGCAAGATGAAAAGGTTCTGGAGATCTGCTGTACAAGGTGAATCTAGTTAATGCTACTGAATATACACTAAAAAATGACTAAGATGGTACAGTTTTATGTTAGTTTTTTTTTTTTTAACACAATTTAAAAAAATAGGCCTGGCGTGGTGGCTCACACCTGTAACACTAACACTTTGGGGGGCCCAGGTGGGTGGGTCACCTGAGGTCAGGAGTTCGAGACCAGCCTGGCCAACATGGAGAAACCCTGACTCTATTAAAAATTAAAAAATTAGCCAAGCACACACCTGTATTCCCAGCTGCTTAGGAGGCTGAGGCAGGAGAATCACTTGAACCCAGGAGGCGGAGGTTGCTGTGAGCTGAGATTGCGCCACTGTACTCCAGCCTGGGCAGCAGAACAAGACTTCTGTCTCAAACAAACAAACAAACAAAAAAAAACAAAAACGAACAAAAAACCACAAAGAAAGATGATCATCCTTGCCCTTCTCCTTCAAGGCTTGCTGTGAGCATACACTTGCATTATGTAGAAGAGGATTAAATTAAAAAAAAAAAATTTTAGAGAAGCAAATATGTACATGTAGGTTAAAAAAAAAAAAAAAAAAAAAAAAAAAAAAAAAAAAAAAAAAAGGAATGGACACAGCACATATAGTGAAGGTGAAAGCTCCTAGTCATCCCGAGCTCCATCTCAGGGCAGGACCATTCAGTTTTCTTAGGTATCACTGGAAAGGGGTTTTAACTGACAGGGAGAGGGAGGGAAATCTGAGTGTGGAAGACTCACCAGACAGCTGACAAATCCGCTGGCTCTCAGTCAGTTTCAGGCTCTCTTTGTGGACACCCTAAGGCTCCTCAAACCCCTAGCCTCTTCAGGATGTCTCTGGACACATCTGGGGTCTCAGTATTGACTTTACACCTGGCAAAGCCCAGAGCTGGAAAGCAGGAGAGAAGGAAGAAAAGGAAGGAACCAGTTACAAAGCACAAACTTCAGAATCAGAGTGGATTGCCCAAGGCCAAGCCCCAAGGGTTGTGCAGTAGTCCCACTGTGGGCTCTGACCTCCCTCTCCCACCGCTCTTCCCCTTCCTGCAGCAGCTGGGTCAGGCCAGCCTAGGGTTGCAGTTAAAGGAACTATGCAGTGTCCAAGGGGCCTCTGATTGCTGTCCCCCCCCCCAACTCCAGATTCACAGTGTCTTCATTGGGTGACTTCATGAGAAACCTGTTTAACATGTGGACTCCCACTCAGGGACCAGCTGACGGTGCAGCCTGAAATGTTCCCTTTCTTAAGGGTTACCTTAGCAAGGGCCTTTTAGAATCCCAAGGGAATGATGTGAGTGGGAGAATGCCAGCTGGCAGCTGGGTTGATATTTTACATAGGAACAAATGATGTGTTACCACCCAATCTATTTGGATAGACGGTATGAACACTCAGAATGAACACTGTCTGTAGCATAGCTTTGTTGTGAAAATTAAAGAACATGATGTAGTGCTTGGCACTAGACAGTGCACAGATGGTGGTGGCTTTATTTTTGTAGAGCAGAGGCTGGAAGGGCCTTTAGCGCCCATCTAGGCTAAATGCCCTCACTACGGAGAAGGAATGGAAACCCAGGGAGTTGTCCCAGTTCAGCAGCTCCTTGTGTGACTTTGGATATAGACTTCCCTTTTCTGAAGGAGTCCCAGTTGGTTCTAACATCCTGTGATTATATGAAGCCACATGGTGAGACCATGAGAAGTTGGAGAGGCTGGTGGGAGAGGCATCTTAGGGGCTTTCTAGAGCCTCTCAAATCCCAAGATGGAGAAGGTTGTGGACCTTTTCCTCACTGGTTAAGATGCTTCTGAGCCCTGGGACTGACTTACACCTAATATTCCAGCTGAGCTAAAGTGAGGGACTTACTCAGTTTTTCCTCTTAACAGCGCACCCTCCAGGGTGATCTAGTCTAAGGAGGAGATAGACCCTGCAGAAAGTAGAGGAAAGGGCCAGTGTGGAGGGCAGGGTGGGTTTTGAGGCAGGGTTCCATGAGGGGAATAAAGACTCATGAAATCTTTCATGCCTCAGGGTGTCTCTGTGTAGACCAAGATGTTTGTGATTCTGACAGGAGGAGGAAAGAGGCCATAGTTCCATATCTCTAGGTCCTGGGTTTGTGTGGGAGGGAGGGCCTGGGTGCATGGGCCTCCTGTCTGAGTTAGGAGAGGCAGAAAGCTGATGAAGGCATAGGTTGGTTCTCTATGACCTGCCTCTGGGGCTCAAGCTGGGGACTGGCAGTCATCAGCAGAGGAGTTTTGCCACTGAGGGAATAAGATGGATGGGGGAGACAGAGCTCCTGCCCTGGAGAGGTCTTGCCTTGAAATGGAAGATAGGCCAGTGAGGAAGGAAGGTGAGCAGATGGCCAATCTGAAAGGGACTTTAAGGATCATCTAGAATCTAGATTCCAAGTCAACATTTTCATAGATGAGGAAACTGAGGCTCAGAAGGGAGAAGTGACTAGTCCAAAATTACATGGCTCATAAATGGCAGCACTCAGACAAGAACCCAGGTGTTTGGGATACTGTTCAGGTGCTCTTTCCACTACAAATGGCAGTGTTCCCTCACATCGAAGCTTCACATCACACCAGACACAGCCTCTCGGTGTCATGGGGCATCATCTCCTCTAACTCTATTGCTATGGCCTTTTCCTGCACCACAGATTCTTGCCAATCTTAGTTAAGGATCCAGTGAGATGGAGGTTGGTGAGCTTGGGAGGAGGAGTTAGCCTTCCTTTATGCTCTCATCTCCCATGTACCCCACTCCTCCAGACCTACTCCAGATTCCCCAGACGAGCCAGGTCACTCTCTGTTCCTGCTATTTCCCACACATTAACTGGTCCTCACAAAATGTACTTGTCTTACACTTGTTTAGCTTCTAACTTGTAAGTTGGAGGATGAAGCTGTGATCTGAAGGATGGACTGGAGATCTTAGTGGGGTTTTCATTCAGGTTGCTCTGGAGAAAAGTGAAATTCTACCCTTGGGTCTTTCTTTCCCATTCTTCCGTTTTAGCTACTCTTTCAAAATGAGCGTCTTCAGTGTCTGGAAATGGAGTAGAGAGGCAGGTAGAAAAAGATCACGTAAAGCAGGTAGGCGATCCAAAACAGCTCCTGGGATGCACAGTTTTGCCACTGTCCCCTTGGTGGTCTTATCACTTCTGTGGACTGGAGAGTTGGTGGAGTGGGAGGGGAGTTAAAGGAGTAGACCTTAGCATCCAGTTGGAAGGACACAGGAATAGAATCTGAGCTGGAAGAGATCTTCACAATCATGTTGGTACAACCCCCTCATTCAACCAGTGGGAAAACAGACCCTCTTCCCCAAGGAAATCACCTGCTTAAGGTCTCACAGCCCAGTAGTGGCAGAGCTGGAGGCAGAAACCAAGTAGCTTATGCTGTTTTCTTAAACAAGAGTGCCCTTCCTTTTCACCTGCCTGGCAAACTCCTACTCATCCTTCAAGACCCGGCTCCAATGTCATCTCTGTAGATTTTCTCCTGGGACACCTCCTTCCCCACTCCCTAGCCAGTTAGTCTCTCCCTCTTGTTTGTTCCTTAAAGTGCTTTGCACAAAGCCTTATTAGAGCACTATACTGTAATGAAATTGTGTGTGTGTGTTTGTGTGTGTGTGTGTGTGTGTGTGTGTGTGCGTGTGTGTGTGTAACTGTGTACTTTGAGGTATGAGGGCAGGGTCCCGTTCCTCATACATTACTTTATTTCCCAGCCCTGATACCTAGCAGGCATTCAAGCATAAGAATAAATGAATCAATGCCGCTTCTATAAGATCATTCTCCTGCTCTGGCACATGCATATGCATTCATGAAAGCAGCTTACAATATTTAAAAAGCAACCTCCAGGGCAGGCCAAAACAGATTTCATTTGGTCTGGGGAAGGGATGGCTCAAAGAAAAGAAGCCATCTCAGTCAGGTGGGGTGAGTCAGAGGAGGAGGAATTCTAAGCCTTCTTTGGAAGCCCAGACACTTCCTGTACCTGGACCCCATTCAATCCAAAGGGCAAATATTCTTGGCCTCAAAACACCAGCAATGGCTTTGCAACCCTCTTCCCTGTGTACCTACCCAGGGTGTGGCCACATACACCTGCCCACTGCACACACACACAGTGCAACTCCCCAGTCCCTCAGCCTGTGATCTTGCCTTTCAAGTGCTCCTTTCATGATTCTAATCTTGGCTGTATGCTTGGCTCTTTGTCCTTGAGCACTGCATTTACTTCCTCTGAACCTAATCCATAAGTTGGGAATAATGATCCCTGCCCTGTCTACCTCACATGAGAACTAGAGGAGACAATAGATGGGAAAGTTTCAGAAACTGCAAACATGCAAGATAATTATCAAGCAGCCTGGTCACACTGTTTCCTTTTCTGTCTCCACATCTTTCCTTTCCCCGTATATTACCAAGAACAGCCATCTCTATGTCTCCTTTCTTACCCCAGCTCTCCTAGCCTCAGAAGCAGCCAGGAGTTTCTTATTATTATTCCTGATTCCCAGAAACCTCACCTTCACCAGAAGGCTTCTTTGTTTCCCACCCTCTCTGATCACCCCTGTAGTCCCTTATCATTGAGGGGCACCATTCTGTAGTCCTGTAGCTGGTGGAGAACACATCAGAGAGGGAATCAAGAGACCTGGGTTCCTGCCCCTACTATGCCAACACATCTAGCCATACATTTTGATTAAGTAACTTTATCACTCTAAGCCTCATTTTCCTCATCAATAAGATCAAGTTTCTTGTCTTGCTTCCCTCGTAGAAGGTATTTTAAGCACTCCCGCATTAAGTTTATGGATGTGCTTTAAGAAGTATGGAGTGAGTGAGGGATGGAGAAGGGTTGATGATTATCACCTCAAGGAGTCAAGAAAATCTGAAAGCCATTTCCAGAGCTCCAGCATGGGTTTCCTCCATCAGGAACAGAGAAAGTGGAGGCATACAAAGAGATAAGGAGGAGCTCACACATTTACAATAGGCCTTTATAGGTGAAGTGGAGAGAGCCCTGGGCTAGGACTGTGGAAACTTGGATTCTAATTCCGTCTGGTCGCTATTGCCACCTTTGGTAAATTGTCTCCCCTGGGGCATCAGTTTCCCTATATGCAAATTGGTAGAGTTGGGAGGGGATGTTAGGAGGAGATACTCTGGTGGGGTTTCAAGCAAGGACTAAACTCATTTGCTTTTTTTTTTTTTCTTTTTCTTTTTGGTTTTTTTGAGGCAGAGTCTTGCTTTGTGGCCCAGGCGGGAGTGCAGTGGCCCAATCTCAGCTCACTGCAACCTCTGCCTCCTGGGTTCAAGTACTTCTCCTGCCTCAGCCTCCTGGGTAGCTGGGACTACAGGCAGGTGCCACCATGCCCAGCTAATTTTTGTATTTTTAGTAGAGACAGGGTTTCATCATATTGGCCAGGCTGGTTTCGAACTCCTGACCTTGTGATCTGCCTGCCTTGGCCTCTTGAAGTGCCTTGATTACAGGCATGAGCCACTGCGCCCAGCCAACTCACTTATTTTCAAGGTAAGAGACTCCCAGGTCCAATCCCCCTTTCCCCTCCTGTCCCATGGAGTATGCAGGCAACAGGAGCAGGAGGCCCATTTTACAGATGGTGACCCAGGAAAAGCAAGCACAAGGCGCAGAGTGGAGGGGTGACTGCCTGGGTTTACACAGCCTGTAAACTAGAACTCAAGTCTCCCAACTTCCAGACTCAACCTATGTTACTAGCAGCAGAAGTTGCTTTTGGGAGTCGCCCGCTTTCCCCGGACTAGGTCAGACAGGGTGAGGGACACAGTGAGGTAAAGGGAATGGGCAAGTGAGCTTCGCAGAGCTAGTGGCTCCGGCCAGATAAGACTGCACTGCGTCCTGAAGTGTTGTTTCTGCCCGTGCACTGGCTGCCAGCCGCAGATGTTCACTTGCCTGTCTGTGAGTGTGGAGGAACTTTCCTTGTCACCGTCTTGAGGGCTGGGAGTGCGGCGCAAGTCCCCACAGATTCCAGGCGGGGCGCGCAGAGCCCAGCTCCCCATTCCCTCCCACCTGCTGCTCTGGGATCACTGTGCTTGGGAGGACTGGGAAGGGTCTGGGAGGACTGGCTCGGTATTTGCAGAGCTCCCCACACCTACCTCGGGTCCACAGTCTCACCGAGAGCACGCTGTGGCCCTCGGAAGGGAGGAGGGAAGACCCTTCATTTCTACCCCAGGCTGCAGCTCAGCCTTCCCAGCTCGTTAGGTGCCTTACCTGCCTCTCCGCGAGGCTCCGGGGCACCCGTTGGCTCGCTGGATACAGCGCCCTCTGACCGAGGGTGGCCGGGACGCTGTGATCCTGTGCGCTCCACCAGCCCTGGTCCACTCCGCGGGCGCCCAGCACTGCCCAGAGTGCCCTCTGGCTCCGCGTTCCCACCCGCGTGCGGTTCCCTTTTCCCTCCCCCCGGGAGTCCCCTCCCCTGGCCCTGCCCGGTTTCCAGCACACCCACTTCTCCCCGGGCTGGCCTTGGGTGCCTCCGCCCAGCTCCTTGCCCTCCCCCAGCTGTGGGCTCCGACTCTTCCGTCCCCTGCAGCGCCTGTTTCCTGGCCCTGAGACCGAAAGCCTCTCGCTCCGCTGGGCCTCAGCAAGCCCAGCACGAGGCCGATCACCAGGAGGGGGCTTTGCTCCAGTGTGGCTGCGTGGCTGTGGGTGAGTCGCTGCTCCTCACCGGGCCTTGGCCTCGCTGTAAAGTTGATACAGTTCTTGCCTGCATTCTTCACAGGCTTATGGCTGGGATCAGATGAGACCTTTGAGTCCGAAGTACTGAAACCAGAGGGTTAACAGCGAAATAATCTGATTCTTCCAAAAACGCTCTTTTCCACACAAGATGCAGAAGGCCCAGTGGGAGAAGAGACGTGCCCAGGTGGCAGAGCCCAGACCCAAAATCCACTACACACCCCTCTCTCTCTGCTTAGCACCAGCAGATGTTTCCTCCCACCAAGCCCCAAAAGTTCCTGAGAGTGCCTGACCAACTTGTGTTTGGGCACCTGACTCATCTCTGCCCCGGAACAGCTTATTTTCCCACCACCATGCCCTCGCTCAAACTGTTGTTTCCTTGCTGGTGACATTGCAGGCTTCAGAGAACAGGGGCAGCCGGGGACAGCAGGGGAATAAGAGCCAGGAGGCTAGTGACAGAGGAAGGGACAGTTGCAGGGAACGGTCTCCCAGGGACCCTGTGGGGCGCCCTTTTATCAGCTCACTGCCTTAGAATAATTAGTAACAGCCTCAGGCCAGCTCTCTCACTCCCTCTCAAAGGTCTGCTTCAGGATATCTGAGGCACATACCCTCAATTACAGAATCTCAGAATATATCTTAGAAGTGCTATCCTTTTTAGACCTACTACAAGGTGGCTATATTGTACAAAATTGCTAATCTTCATCAAAACATGTTAGCTCCGTATTCTATGATTACATGTTTTGACCCAACTGTTCCTTTTTCTCAGTCTGGAGATCACCTCTCAGAGAAGTCATCCTGACCACCTAAAGATGCAATCTCAATTTTCTTTCTCTTTCTCTTTTCTTTTCTTCTCTTCTCTCTCTCCCTCTCTCTCTCTCTCTCTCTCTCTCTCTCTCTCTCTCTCTATCTCTCTATCTCTCTCTCTTCCTTCCTTTTTTTTTTTTGAGACAGGGTTGCATTGTGTCACCTAGGCTGGAATGCAGTGGAGTGATTATGGCTCACTGCAGCCCTGAACTCCTGGGCTCAGGTGATCCTCCTGCCTCAGTCTCCTGAGTAACTGGGACACGCCACCATGTTATTTTTTATAGAGACTTTTGTATGTTTTATAGAGACTGGGTTTCACCATGTTGCCCAGGCTATCTCAAACTCCTGGGCTCAAGTGATCTGCCCACCTCCACCTCCCAAAGTGCTGGGATTACAGCATGAACCACTGTGCCTGTCCTGCAATCTCAGTTTTCAATCTGCCTAAGAATCACCTGGGGAGCTTGTTTTAGTAAATAGACTGTTGGGTTCCACTCCAGAGGTTCTAATTCAGGAAATCTGGAGTGGAGCCCAGAAATCAGCATTTTAAAACAAGATTCCCAAATTACTCTGATAAAAATGGTTCTTGAGACTAGCCATGAGGAAACAGTCCTGGCTCAGTCAGGGTTCCTTCTCATATCCTGCCCATGGCCTTGTATTTACTCTGTAGGACTGTTTATGACAGTTTCTGAAAGTCTCAGATCCTGGTCCTAGATGAAAAAAAAGATTAAAAAAATAAGAATAAAATTTTTTTTTTAAAAAGAAAGTAACCATTATCCACCTCATCTGCTAGATTGTGAGTTCTTTGAAGATAGGGATTGTCTTTTGCTCTAATAAAATCTTAGAACCAAAGTCTTAGAATTGAATAATCTTAGGGTTCTAGAATGTAAATTAAAAGGACTCTCAAGAGTTTCCTAGTCAAATCCCTCATATGCCTAATGAATCATTCCTATTTCTTTATCTTTGGAGACATATCACCCAGGCTGGAGTGCAGTGGTGTGATCTCAGCTCATTACAACCTCTGCCTTCCAGGTTCAAGTGATTCTTGTGCCTCAGGCTTCTGAGTAGCTGGAATTATGGGCGTGCCACCATATCCAGCTAATTTTTGTATTTTTAGTAGAGATGGAATTTTGCCATGTTAGCCAGTCTGGTCTCGAACTCTTGATCTCAAGTAATCTGCCCTCCTCAGCCTCCCAAAGTGCTGGGATTACAGGTCAGAGTCACCACACCCCGCCTCTATTTCATTTTTGACATGAGGCTGTCCAGCTTCTCTTGCATACCTCTAGGGAGCTCATTGCCTGCAAGGCAGCCAGACAGCTCTGATTGCTAAGATGTTCTCACATTTTAACAAAAACTGCCTCCTGTTGACATCTACCCTTTGGTTCTTGCACCACTGGAGACATAAAAAAATGAAAATAGGTAATTTAAAGAGAGTGTGGTGAGGGTTTAGGAAATCAAGAAATAGTGCACTATGTCTGGCTAGTAACGGTGAGGATGGAAACTACCTGGGCTGACAGGGCAAGGGAACCCAGAGAGGGCAGTGGTGGGGACGGCATCCAGGTTGGAGCTGTGGCTTTTGGTAGAGGCTAACCCACAGGGAGAGAGCCAGGAGAACAAGTACCTCTCCCTCCCTCCCCTCCCATCCTGTGGTCTTCTACCACTGCCTCCTTTTGGCTCAACCCAGACGGAAGCTCCAGAGCCAGGTGGCCCACTGTGGGTGGAGAAGGGTGGTAGACCCAGGTGGGGACAAGTGGAAGGATCCAGCACTGGTAGTGCAGCTGTCAGATGGGTGGGGTCCTTCTCAGTTCCTTTTCAGCCTGCTCCAGGCAACGGGTGGGAGGAAGGAGTTGGAGAACTAATGTGGGAGGAGGCTGCGAGCTTGGGTTTTCACCCCAGACAGGATTAGGAGGGGGACAATCTCAGTTCCTCAAACACCCACATGCTCTCTGTCATCTCCAGGCCTTTGCCTATGCTGTTCTTTCTGCCTGGAACACCCTTACTCCTGAGGCTAGCTAACTCACCCTTAGATGCTACTTCCTCCCAGAAATCTCCTCTGTCCTAAATTGTCTGTGTCCCCTGACTGCTCCTATCCCACTAGTCTCCCCTTTTGCACATGTATCATCCTTGTGTGGGTCCCTTTTTTGGGGGAGGATACAGTCTGATATGGGAAGAATGGCCCCGACATCATGAGACTCCACATGGTCAGGAAAATGTTGCTCTCACTGGAAGAGCCTCTAGTCCAAGAGAGGGCAATAGATATAGCAGCCCCTGAGGGGAGAAGGGTGCTGTTTGTTTTTTGGTGCTTCTAATCTTCTACCTCCAAAGTCATCAATGTTTAGAAAGCAAACAATAGATATGGGTATCTTTACTGGAGCTCTGGCTGAACCCACAGAGAAAGGAGGGATCCTCTAATTATTCTTAGTGAAAAGAGACCACCTAAATGTTGCGGACACAGGCACAAGACAAGAAAGGGGTCAGCCAAGGATCATAGGCTCTGGGACCTGGACCAAGTCACTGCCTCACTTTGAGCTTCTGTGTTCCTCACTTGCAAAACAAGAATTGTGGTCCTGCAAATCCCACAGGGTTCCAAGGAGCAAACGGACACATGGCTGAGAAGGCACTTTGAAAACCGTGAAATGCTTATTATTGGCTTCCCCTCAGATTAGGAGCTCCTGGAAGGAGGGTCTGTGCCTCAGAGGTTATAGACATTTGTTATCCCGCCTAAGTAAATAGGATAATGTGGCAGCAAAACAAAACAAAAAGTGTTGACACTGACTTAAGCTTTGTTTTTAGAAGAATGTGTTTGAGGCTATTTTGGATTTTCCCAGAAGCAGGCCCTAGGTCGTGGATTTGAGCGCAAGTGGTTCATGTGTGATGTGATCCCGGGAAACACGATTAGGAGAGTGGGAAGTAAGACAGGATAGAATGGAGCCTATAATAAGGTGTACCCTTAGCAAGCTTAGCCCCACTAGGGAACCCTAGAGGCCTGGGTAGAACACACATCCAGAGTTACCCCTCATTAGAGGCAAGGGGCCAGGGGAGTCAGTCATTGGCCAAGGGCTGCTTGGGGGACATGAATTCTTTAGCATGTCCAGCCTGACACATGGGTTGACAGCCCCAGTCCTACCAAAAGTCCTGAGACAAAAGGTGCAGATCCTGGCAGGTGGAAATAGACCCTTTCCTTTTCTTTTCTCTTCCTTCCTTCCTTCTTTATCTTTCTCTTTCTTCCTTCCTTCCCTTTCTTTTTTCTTTCTTTTTCTTTCCTTCCTTCTTCCTTCCTTCCTTCCTTTTTCTTTCTCTTTCTTCCTTCTCTTTCTTTCTTTCCTTCCTTCCTTTCTTTTCTTTCCTTTGTTTTCCCTCCCTTCCTCCTCCCCCTACCCCACTCTTTCTCTCTTTCTTTCTTTCTTCTTTCAACGGGGTCTCACTCTGTCACTCAGGCTCCAGGCTGCAGTGCAGTAGTGATATCTTGGCTCATTGCAGGCTTCACTTCCTAGATTCAAACTATCTTTTCGCCTTAGCCTTCCAGGTAGCCGGAACTACAGGTGCACACCACCGTGCCTGGCTAATTTTTGCATTTTTTGTAAAGATGGGGTTTTGCCATCTTGCCCAGGCTGGTCTCAAACTCCTAAGCTCAAGTGATTCTCCTGCCTCGGCCTCCCAAAGTGCTGGTATTACAGGAGTGTGCCACTGCACCCAGCCTGAAATGTCTATTTCCAATAGGCATTTGAAATGGCACTGAAGGCCGGGCGCGGTGGCTCAAGCCTGTAATCCCAGCACTTTGGGAGGCTGAGGCGGGTGGATCACAAGGTCGAGAGATCGAGACCAACCTGGTCAACATGGTGAAACCCCGTCTCTACTAAAAATACAAAAAAAAATTAGCTGGGCATGGTGGCGCGTGCCTATAATCCCAGCTACTCAGGAGGCTGAGGCAGGAGAATTGCCTGAACCCAGGAGGCGGAGGTTGTGGTG